GCAGCGCCCCTGGTGATTGACAGGTTTTGTTCCCAAGAGGAATGACAGCTTGAGACGCWGCACTGTGCATCTCTCTGTTAGATGCCAGAGACAAAAAGAGATTTAGTTTGTATGGTTCTAGGAGAGACAATATTTGTATCTGATTTGTGATCAGATACAAAGTGCCACAGAGACCATTTTTTCGTGTCAYCCTGTCCACCCCGCGACCGCGTGAGCAGATCAGCTGACTGCTGTGTGGTAAAGAACGTTTGGCGAACCGGGAAAATCCTTGGTAGACTAATCCCCACCTGAAGAAAGTGGTGCAAGTTTTGACGGCTCGTCATTTACAATAGCAGCTCGTGAGCATAAATATTGATGGGGCGGACAGAGTTTGTGTTACGAATGAGCTTGGTTGATTAGAACCCCAAGATGCAGAACTGAGTGAGGTGGCAAAAAGTGATTTATTAAAACAAAAACAAAGAGGCTGACGTGGCAGCAAACAAGAACAAAGGATTTTGGGCAGGAACAAGAACWTGAAACAGAGAACAAAGAACAAGAACAAGGATCTGACAAAGACTGAGGACAAAGGACAGAATATAAAGGAAGAACTAATGAGGTAAGACAAGAAACACCTGGGGAAGAAACATGAGGATCAGGTGTGAGTGGGCGGGGCTAGAGCAAAGGCAGACATAAGGAAGAAAACAGGAGGAAAAGRCAGAAAACTTAGACTAAATCATAAGCACAGACACAAATCATGACATGGCCCCCCCAATAAGGGACGGCTCCTGACGTCCCACAAACAAAAGTTCAGGAGGCCGGCCATGAACCTCCCTGCTGCAGAGGCCAAAGTCAGGAGGACGACCTGGAGATCCCCACTCCATGTCCAATGAGGCCCCTGGAGCTGAGCAGAGCCAGAGGGAGGAGGCAGGAGCAGACGTGGAGCCGAGGGAGGAGGCAGGAGCAGACGTGGAGCTGAGGGAGGAGGCAGGAGCAGACGTGGAGCCGAGGGAGGAGGCAGGAGCAGACGTGGAGCCAAGGGAGGAGGCAGGAGCAGACGTGGAGCCAAGGGAGGAGGCGGGAGCAGACGTGGAGCCAAGGTAGGAGGCGGGAGCCGATGAGGAGCAGTCAGAGGTTGATGGAGCAGGAGCCTCGGTGACGGCGAACACAGGCGACAGAGGGGATGAAGAGGCGAAGGCAGCCGACCCAGGCAACATGGAGGCGACGGCAGCCGACCCAGACGACGTGGAGGCGATATCCGATGACCCAGGAACCTCAGGAGCAGAGGGCTCAGCAGGAGACCCAACAAGAACCAGAGCTAGAGGGCCCACAGGAACCAGAACTGGAGGACCCACAGGAACCAGAA